CTCACTTCTGAGGGTTGGAGAGCTGAGATTGTATTGAAGATTTTAAACTTTTCGGTGATTTACTCTCAGGTGGTTAGTTCTGGAAGGGAGGAATAAGTAAAATAAATTAGCGTGAGGCCTGCCATTAACCTACGGTAAAGGGAAATCAGGGATATCTACACTCCAGGTTTTCAGATGAGGTTTCACGTTCCCGAAAACATATTACATATTGGGAATCTAGGGAAATCTAAAAGGAGATGGTCACTGTTTGATAGTGAGAGGACGATGTCAAGGTCAAATATGTCGAAGGATTCGTATGTGAATATGAGATCCAACATTGACGAACTTTGACTGGAGCCGTGTGCTATACTAAGGTATTTCGTATGACACTGGGAGTTGGCCTGCTGTCAAATGTTAGCAGATACTGAGAATCAAACATCAACCTGGTTTAGATCATGATAAAATACCCAAGGATGAGTTAGCAGTTAAATTCGCTCCATATTTTAAAGAGTTCGAATACTGAGCCATAAGTTTAGCAGGTTGGAGCGCAATAAACCATATTGATGATAAATGTAGATTTACGGAGCGTAATCGTAGTCGACTGTTTCACTAGGTCTGTATAATTCTTTCAAAGAACACAGGTGGCGTGTTTGGAAGCAGTTAAAAGTGTCGAGGACCACTTCACCCCCTTTATAGCCTCTCAATTTATCTGTGTGCAGATGATCAAATCCTGACAACTCTGGTGTCACATTGAGACGAGCCATTTCTCAATGATAGGTACAACTAGCGGATGTAATTTTTCCACCTATCCTCCTAGTTCCTACAACTTACTTGTGAGACAATGGGTATTTGTGTACACTGCTTTGTACCCCTTATGTTGTATGATTTAAACACGCCGGCTTTCAAAGCACTGGCCTCAGAGATCTGACTGTCTGAAGCTCCGTACTGTTTCTATTTTTACCGTTTTCTGGTTAAACCAGTGGCTGCTTGCTTTTATGCCTATCTTTTAATAACTTCTTTGGCCTGCTCGGTAACTTACAGCTCTTAAGTCTATATGTACTGCTAAGTAACTGATTATGGTGCTCCTTAAAACACAATAGGACCTCCAGAAATCTCCACTGTTAGATATTGATGTGACAAATTACTTCTTACCCATTCCTACCAGCTTATTCACAAGTATAATGGAAATTTTCTCAGTGGAATTCTATGGGTGACCAATTATATCTTATGTGTGGAGTATTACAGGGTTAGACTTACTAGATTCCTTCAAGTTACACATCGCAAGACTACAGTTAGTTATCTGTTTATCATCAACACAAGTGTTAAGCCGTTTATTTATCCATCCTATGAAGAGTTGTTTGGTAGAGATTTCCTCCTGGTGTTCCTATAGCTGGTACTGTTTAAGTCATTACAGGAGTGTTTGCATTGACATTGTGAATCATATAGAAATAAGCAGCCTGCATTAGCGAAAGTTGAAGCTAATTTCGCCTCCCCATCTAAACTATTGGGCTCTACAAGCTTTGGTGCCTGCTGAATAAGAATAATATCAGGGCCGAATTCTTCAGTTCGAATTACTACAATACTTGTATACAGTTGGTCTTGGGTTGGTGAACATTTTATGGTGACATTTATTATGGTTATCGCACTGCATGCTTTCATTTACAGTGAAAAGACATTCATGTTTTCAACATTATTGAAAGGAATCAACCATTTTGAACACAAAAATTACTTGAAAAACATCGACAAAAAGCACTGACAAAATATAAGTTGAAACACTAGAGTTTAAGAGAAAAATTGCTGATATCAGAAGATAAACATAGGACAAAAGAACTAAGGTTATAACACCAGGGAACTCAAAATGTAACTGGAACACTTCTTCATAACTATTTTGATCCGGATAATAGAGCGAAAATATGGATAAAGTCACTCCCCTTTCCCATCGCAACATGATTTCCGCCGTCATCATCAGTAAAATGGGCTTCATATATTTGTGTGTCATCGGGTTCTTATTAGCTGCCGGCAGTGTAGTAAAATATAACACGAGATTAAAGTAGAAATTTAACTTACTAGAGTTCGCGAACAAGAAATCATCTCATACGTTTTGTTTCCGTGATAAATTTGAATAACACTATATACATAATAACTTGATATGTGTCAGTTAAAAGGAATTTGTTTTGGTTTACATTCATTGGGAAATACAAATACCAAAGTAGTGAATATCATTTACCCGATGCTCACACTTTTTCAAACCAAAAAACCTCAACTTGGTTTGAATATCTACAAACTGATTATGTACCATGATTACCAATTTATGGTCAAAAATGAACTATTTTGACAAATATGCATATAACTTAAACACCAGTTTTATCCAAGTTGTTCAATTAGAAAAAGCAAGCCAAATGTTACATGAATGAATCACTTTATTCAATAATTAACCTTATGCGAACTTTCCAAGGAATAAGGAAAAGTATACATAACTTATGAAGGGTCAAGTTAAAATAGCCCCAAGAAGAAGCTGTTTGGCTTACTTTTTGATTTCACATCGTCAAAGAAGGTGTTTATCAGAATGGATGCAAAACTCATTCTGGTCTGTTCGTAGAGATAAGAAGGAGTGGTTCCTACCTAAACTTGTCAATATTGCAAACCAATATATGTCCGCGTTAACTTGGATCAAACCGTTTACCGATAAAAATTGTTTGGCTTGGAAAAAATTGAAAAGCTACAAACGAACTGTAATTCATCAGTCTGACAAGGGTTCTGATTTGGTTGTAATGAATGGGGAAGAGTGTATCGCTAAGATGATTTTCGCGATTCAGAAGAAATTATCGCAGTAAAAATGTGACAACAACTATCCAGAAGTGAATTATTAAGGAACTCAGGGGACAATTCTGAAGAAAGGTGATAGAAAGTAAAACCTACAATGAAAAAAACCCTCGGGATTTCGCCCAGCATCTCATCGTTACATTCGAAAAACGATAGTTATCTGTTTTGTGTTAACTCCGATTGTATGTACACAAATCTCATGGATATGCTAGAGTGAATACATTAGAAAGTAAGAAAGAAAGGCTTACCTAGGATATTTGAGCACTTCCAAGGAAGTCTACAACCAAACGAAAGTCAGCAGTCATACTGGTGCGATTACCAGACACTTAATAGATACAGGATACGAAATAGATATCCTACAATCTTTTAAAGTAATCAACAAGAAAAACAATCCTAATCTTCTCCGTCTCCCTGACGCTATCGCCATCCGAAGGCTGAAACCAGATTTGTGCGTCCACAGAGAAGCAGTTGTCAGCGCATTACTACCCTATTGATTTATGTACAAATCCTTCTCATATTCGATGACATCATCTTTTATTATCTTCATTACCATTAGTAAACTTTTTTTTACTAGGACTATGAAGGTAAGTAATAATGTTTTTTAACTAGCATTAAATAACTTTTGCAAGAGCTAGTAAGTGGCATTGACGAATATGTTGTTCGTCAGTGAGAAACTAATTTTGTTGATGAATGAAATATATTTATAAAATCCCGATGAGGTGGGAAAGTAAATTTTATAACTCATCTACGCAGCGCTCAACTTACTCAACTGTATCAAGTCAAATTTTGATCCTGAAGTCCGTAAAATAATTACTAATTTTGTTGAAACTAAGTCAAAATAGATTCCTACTTCGGGATCTTATCTCAAACTGTGTTGAGGTTCTCATGCCAGTATAAACTTGTTTGCTCTTTCAGTTCCTTGGACAACTGCTAAAATACAGTGAAACATCAAGCAACGAGTGTTTTCATTCATCACCTGAAACTAATAGGTTCATCCAACAAGATGCAAGTGGCTGTCGAACGTTCAGCAGAGTAACTCTTGATGAAGCATATATATCAAAGTATCTTACTATTCATGATGGCTTTAATTTACAAGACCGCTATTCTGTACATGCAGATAACAGTCTGGGCTGTAGTTTATCACTAGAAAGCATTTGGTTATCTAGGAACCCTACTGAAAACGGTAAGGTCACAGATTCAAATCCCATATTTACTTCTTAGGTTTTAATATTAATATTTATACTGGGTGATGATTGAAGGTGAAATGAAGATTTGGACCGCCGCCGGACTCGAACCAGTGACCACCAGGTTTTTCGGCCCGTTGCTCTACCAACTGAACTACAAGGTGCGACTGCTGACTAGATTTTTATTTCACTTCAGTCACCATGAGTTTTGCCTAACTACCATGTAAATTCGTGACTCCTTACTACCGCTTGATCGTATTCACACTGGCTGCCTAGTCAGGACTTCTCATCCAAGTTGAAATCTAACTGAGTTAGAAAGGGGGAGCATCATATTGATTATCATTTTGACTATCTGAGCCGTGGTTTGACAGACTCCCTCTCTCTAAATCAGTTAGATTTGGATTGAGATGAGAAGTCCTGACTAGGCAGCCAGTATGAATACGATCAAGCGGCAGTAACTCATCACGAATTCACATGGTAGTCGATGGTTGGAGTGAAATAAAAATCTGGTTAGGAGCTCAGTTGGTAGATCATCGAGCCGGAAACTCGATGGTCTCTGTTGTGAATCCTGTTGCGGTCCGAATTTTCATTTCACCTTCAATCATTACCCAGCATAAATATTGGTCTGCCAAAACCACGGCTATATCAAATAGTCAAATTGATAATTTAACACTAGTGTCATTAGCTAAGACACCTTTTTAGTATTTTATTGCTGACAGGAAGCGACGATTTCGGCGTCCGAGGGTGACATAGAGGAGATCGTGCGAGGAGGAAATGAGAGGTTGTGGGCTGTCGTGGAGCCAGGTTCAAAAGATTTCAGAGAACAGAGTGAAGTGGAGACGTGCTACTGAAGCCCTATGTTCCATTAGGAACCCAAGGGAAAAATAATAATAATAATAATAATAATTGCTGATGTCATCTGTGTCTTTTCATTTATTACTGAAACGTCTTTGATCTGTATTATATATCAACCATTAAACTGTAAATGGTTTTTAAATGTTGCTCTGTATATAGAAGTGAACAAGACTCAAACACAACTATCCCGTGTGAATTCTGTCAGTCTACGTATCCAGTGGATGAGATTTCTGAGCATCAAGTAGGCTTTTATGTATTTTAGTGTATTTTTCAGTGTTATTATATGCTGTAGATATAGAATCTAAAACGAAATGCGATTATCAACCTTGTGCACACTCGTGCAGTAGGCAATGAGCAAAATTCATTGTGTATGGGCTAGTGATACTACCTGGCTGCCCAAACCTCGGAAGGTGGTGTAGCGGGACTTGAACCTATGGCTTACTGGTTGAAAGCCATTTCTCTAAATCAATAAGCCACAGTTTCAAAAGATATTGTATTAGGTTAGTTACTTAATAGTTTAGTCTTCGGAGAGATTAAGATGTCCTCATGCTTTACTCGTATATGAGTTCGGCCAAATCCTAATTTAAACCAAAAGTCACATATAGGTTTGTTTACTGGTTTGTAAGTTGATCAATCTTGTGAATGCCAACAATATCATCCGGTTACATGAACCCTAGTAGATGGAGTTGATTTTCAACATGTGACCTATCGGTTGAGCATTAAAACCTCGATTTCTGAATTCATATGATTGGGAAATTTATTATATTCAGGTGGTATAGTGAAGTAAATTGAACACTTGACTTTGTGATGAGACCTGTACTACGATGATAACTGTTTTTACTCATTCCACAATTAATAAACGTCATTATTATTAATAAATTCTCTGGTTACTACTCGTTTTCTTTTCTCTAAATCTTTCGACTTTCAAATTACTTAGGCATAACAACCAAATATTTTTTCTTTCATACTCATTGAAAAATATGTAAAGTTTCATTCTATTCATTTAGCTTTACCGAATGGACAATATTTGTGATCCATTGCCTATGAAATACATGATCTCGCCTCTAAAGATAGCTTGTTCTTGATACAGTAATGTATTATTATTATTAGTTATGATTTGGGCAAGCTGTGATCGATTGTAGCACAGCCTCATCAAGCAAACTTGAATCAAAATACTTGCACACATTTAGTTCGAAGAGGGTGATATTTCCACAACTTTGTCCAACGTCGTCAAAACAACATATTGCTGCAAACCAAATAGTAAAATAATTCTTGTGTGTAACAAAAATGTCACAGAAGTCACAGATGAACTGACCACTGCAACAATAATATGAACCAAGAGTGATTTCCTAATGCAAAAGTTACCAGTGGACGAGTTAAGATTGATCTAATCCACACACATGCATCAGAGATGACAGTGATGAACAAGAGATTGACAATCAGATGATCAAACCATTTCTCCAAAGAACTCTCTCCCCTGACGAATTCAGAACAAGTGGCGAATGTGACGAAAGTGGAATTTAGTGAGATTTTAGTATTTCGATAGAATTCTTCAGTTGAGCACTCAGCATACACGATAATTTATATAGTCTCAGAGTTAACAAACACATCTTAGGCAGGTGATTTGGAATAATTATTCATTTTAACAGATTGTTTCCATTCATGGAGATGATCAATAATTGTTAAAAGGTGATAAAATGCCAAAAGGAGGAAGTGTTTTCAAGTTTTGGATAAGTGCCTCTAGGAAAACATCATTCATCCACTTGATGACAGCGTGAAATTAAAACATATGCGCTTTTCTGATTACAATTCCTCAGACAATATTGAAATCACACTTATTTCATATTTCTCAGGACTCTTTTTGAATTGACAGATTCCAACCTACTTGACAATATCTTTTTCGTCTGTTCGAATCTCAAGTTTGCCCAATAATGGGAATTGCTTATAAACTGTTCTTACTTGTACATAATGTGGCAAGTTTTAGAAAAAATTATGTCTCATTTGTATTTTACCTGAGTCTGTAAAAGTTACTTATACATTACTCTGAAGAAAGTATAAGAAGGATAAACTTGAACGTTAGAAAAGTTACCGTATAAGGACCTTAGTGATATATTTCCGCAAGAACAATGACCAATTCTCTTCAACTCTGGCTTCTCTTTTGTCTTTGCCTCCTGATACTAGTATTAGGCTTCTTACACCTTACCCATCGTCTCACTCTGCAACCAGTGTCAACGCTCAAAGCCATTCAAAGTTCATACCCAGTCTCGTAAGACCCGCCCGAAATCGATTTCTAGTAGGAGCTTTCAAAGTCCCAACTTCATACCAAATCGAACAGCAAGCATTGCTCACCAGAACTCTGGAATCTCAAGCCATGGATATGTCCTGTGTCTGTGAGACACGTATACAGAACCCGAGTGTGGTTATTAAATTGACCTCACCTGGCCATTGTGGTGAATCTTCAAAATTCACCTTACAAGTATCCCAAGACACGGTGGCTAGCTCTCATTGACTCGCTGTTGTAGGCATAGTATTGGGTTGTAGAGCCAAAAGTAAACAGCCGTCTATGTGATGTTCAATCGAATGGATCTATAAAGACTATGGAGGATCGTGAGACCAACCGATGCCTATTCGTGATCTTCATCTACGCACCACCGACTGGAGTTCGGATGGTACAAAAGATAAATTCTGTGAGAATCTGCCAACTTTGCTAAATAAATCAAAACGTTCAGAGGTAGTCATAGTGGCAAGCTCCCAAATACTGAAGCTGAGCTAATCACGGAGGTATCTGGGCGGTATTTACGGAACCCCATACCAACGAACCAACAACAGTGATCTTCTACTGCAATTCTGCTCCAAGGATCACTTTTTTCTGGCCAGCGCACACTTTAGATTTTAGAAGAAACACTGTTTCACATGATGTCCCCCAACTTCAAACCAACGATGGACACAGATAGATCATATTGCCATCAGCCATTGTTGGAGAAGATCCGTGGAGGATTGCCGCTCTTTCTGTAGTACCGGTTTGGTCTCCAGTCGTGCGCTAGTACGAGCTTGTGTATATCTGCGCCTCACTGGTCGTTCGACACAGGCTACAGTGGAGCCTGTCTATGATCAACTGAAAGATGAAAACGTGGAGTGTGTATTTCGAGAAGAGATAGCGAGGCAGCCATCTGAACGTGACAGCGATCGTCACCCTGATGAAGCATGGTATGATATTCAGTTTACCGCAGAAACTGGTGTAAGGACATTTGGTAACCTACACATGAAAGTTCTCAAAAGTCATTGTATTTCAGCGACGTCATGCGAATTGATTGATGCGAGAAGCCTAATCTCAGCTGGCTCTGACCATGCTGAACAGCCAAAGCAACTTAGACGTAAGTCAACCAAGAGTCTTCGCAATGATCACGAGCAGTGGTGCGTGATGAAAACAAGAGAGATGGAGATGACATCGTTGCTGAGTAACACTTGACAACTTAAAGTAGATGTGCGCAGATATTTTCATTCGGCTGGTTTTGATAAAACTGCTATGGCTGATTTTGACGCAGCCATATCATGTTTGTTTTGCAGTTAGTGTGTCGTGATTTTGCATTTAAGTTTTTATTTTGGTATGAGTAAGGGTCCAGTACACCCTGGTCTTGTCTCTTTATTCACTTATTTTTCATGAATATCCATTTTACCACATCAATGAAATATTAGCTATTTAAAGGACTATGACTCATTGTCCACTCTTTTCAGGTTCCTTAGAAAGTGAAGTCGTAGAACCTGCAGCAAATTCGTTGACTTTGTTGTCTCAGAGATTTACTTGAGAACGTAGCTACTAGTTTGAAGGTTTTATTTTGATCTTCGAGTCATCTGACTGAAAAATGACAAATTGGCTAGTTTTTAGCTTAAAAGTGATTTACAAAGGATGAGGAAGTGTAACACAATGTAACCGTGATTAAGATTTACGTAAGAGACAAGCAGTGATACTGTATAAGTATCTGGAAGTCAGCAAGTGTCCAATGGATTTATATCGTCTAGTTATTCGCGAAGTCCAGCTTTTTCTTTTTTAATTGAGTAGAAAGACAGAAAGAGACCTATTAGATAAATGGGATTAGCTTTCAGAGTTGAAATGTGGATAGACTTAGTTTCGTCTTACTAAGTTTCAAACAATTACTGTTTAAAATATTTCTGCTGGGTCTCAGATAGAAACCTATAATTCTACAGAAAGCAAATCACAACATAAGTTTACTTATTACTATTTATTGACATATTTGTTATTCTCCATTGTTTTGTTGGATCGAATTGTTCGACCTCTATTGGCATATGGACTCCTATGCGGATACCTCGATATTGCCTGAATGTTAATTATGATAAATTGGTTAGTTGTGGCTAGCAGAAGAATCCAGTAATAACTACTACCCACTGTACAAGAATTGCCTGTTGTTCCTCTGTGGCATTTCGGATAACGCCTTGGCGTTTGGAGCGATGTGTACGAGGTTCGAGTCCCAGTGGGAACAACATCAATGGAAAGCAGGCACATCTATCTGACGAGCCCCAAGTGGGACGAGACGCGTGTCCTGGGTTCTTCTGCTAGCCACAACCAACTAACTTATCATAAATTTACTTGTTTATGTTTGACCACCTAAAGGTCTTTTAGCATCCATTGTTCAGCTAACCGACGTGATGAATATAAGAAGGAGTGAATAATATCCCTGATCTTAAACAAGAAGAAATGATGTCATTTATTCTGATCGTGTAGATGTGGTTGGTGAGTGTTACTGAATGATGTTGATGGTTTCTTATTATTCATGTCAGTCAGTACTTTATATCGTACAAAGATGCATAACTTGACTGTTTAAAATCTCTCTTTTAGGTTATGTGTATGCTTCAGAACAACTCGACAGATTTATCAACGGAAGGGGTCACCAGATTCAGGGGACCAACTTTTCAACCAATAATAAATTCAAAAACTAATTGCAATTATCGTACAGTTTCAAAAGCAACGGAGTTAACCTCTGTTAAATCAGGTTAGTGGTTGTCTTTTGAAAAAAAATCCTAAATGTATGGTTTGTTTATACTTTTTGGGGGTTTTTTGCTTCATACCTGGAAAGAATAAACATATCGGTGTAATAATAAATGCATCGAAATTCAGATAGATATGTAACTCAGAGAAACCAGTCAATCAATCGTACAGAAATAAAACTTGTCTCTATTGTATATATAAATTAAACGAATAGAATTGTAATATGTTGATTGTGTTGCGTTCCTTGAGCTGGATGGTTTAACAGTGATTGGACCATGCATCTCAAAGAAAGCAAAACAACCAAGACTGTTCACCTGAGCGATAAATAAATATTCTCCACCACTTCAGAACTGTTATATCTAACCAATCACCGGACTCAATGTCTGAGTAATTAGTAAAGCCTTTGCTAGGAGTGTATGCTTGACTAAAGAATGCTCCACCAAATATTATCGACAATCACTGAGGTTTTGTGATTGAATCGACTCATCCAGAGGGTGCATCTGTGGCCTTGGCGGTGATGCGTCGATTCGAAAACTCAATCCGGTCATTATTATTATTATTATTATTATTATTTGTCCCTTGGGGTCGTAGTGGAACATAGTGCTTCAGTAACACGCCTCCATTACACTCTCTTCTCTGCAGTCTTTTCAACCTGGCTTCACGACTGCCCAGAAGCTCTCATTTCTTCCTCATATGATCTCCTCCATGTCATCTTCGCCTTGGACGCCCAACTAGTCGTTTCCAATTTGGGTTTCACTGAGCGGCCTGGCCTAGTGCGTGATAATCCTAAGTGGTTTTCTCAGTGTCTGTCCAATCCATCTCCACTTTCTTATTCTGCATCTTTATTGAGTGATAGGTTCCTGGTTGGTTCGTTGCTAGAGTGAGTTCCTTGTTGCTTATTCTTTCTCGCCTTCTCATCTGATCTTCAGTATCGAGTGAGCGAAGGCGACAGCTGTTGATGAATGTCTGTAGTTTGCTGGAAATGCTTTTCGTAACGCGCCAAGTCTCTCAACCATCACATAGAAGCACTGAATCGCTTGACTGACGTTAGTGTTGAAAATCCGGATCTTGTTCACGCTTTATGCTGGGTGCAGTGCAGTGGAGTGGAGTTCAGTAGATCTCCACACTGGTTTTAGATTAATGAAGACCTGTCTTGCTTTTCCGACCCTGGCTTTGACGTCCTCATGTGTACCGCCGCCTGTAGTTGAAACGATGCTGCCTAGGCAGGTAGGTAAAAGCGACAACTGCCTTTAGATTTCTCCCATTGATGATGATTGATGCTTGTTGTTGTTGGTTGGGTATCTTGATCACCTCTGTCTTCTCTACGTTCACCTGAGTTGGACGTCAAACATTAGAATATTAAGCTTTTTGATCATCGCGTTGGGTCATAAGGTTTTAAAGTTGTGAACCCAGTCTTATGGTGATTGCTATCATCTATTAAATATACTGAGGTTCTCGCGTTATACAACTGGGAACTAGTTAAAGTTACATAGCTTTTATTCAGCTGACAGTAGTAGATTTGTTTTAATTTCCTTGTTCTTTAAAGTGGAAATATTTTCCAATGTCAGTGTCGATGAGGTACTGTTATTAAAATTTATTGCTTGTACTATGCTACACGCCATTGTGAATTGTAATAATGGAACTGAATAGTTTCTTCTTGAGTCTCTTACCTGTCGAATTACTTTAGTATAAATGCACTTTGTATCATGTTTCTTTCTGTTGTACATTCGTCACGATCTAGTTTGTATTTGATAACATAATTATCAAGTAAACTGCCAGACTATTTTTTAGTGATAATTGTAATTTCATATTGTTATACAGGGCCGAATTGCTTGGCTGATGGGCTCCTTTGCGGATGCCTTGATATTGCCGGATATTCATGATATTACATTTATCTTGGTGACTAGAAGAGGAATCTGAGACTCATTAGCTAGATTTACCTCCACCTCAGTGAGTGATGTTGCTCCCAACCGAGAGTTGAACTCATTACTCTTCGCTTCAAACACGACAACGTTATCCACTAAGCCATTAGGGCATGACAACCATCTTTTGTGCATCTGATGTCAGTTGTTATGATACGTGTAAGTTCCAGTTGCCATACAGAGCCGAATCACTCGATCTCTGGGCTTTGAAGTGAAGCGTATTGGGTTTGAGCTTCGGTAAGAACAACATCACTCACTGGGGGTGCAGGCACATTTAGCTGACGAGTCCCAAATAAGACCGAATACGCATCCTGGATCCTTCTACCAGTCGCTAAGATCAATATAACATGTTAGATTATTTGTCTAAACGTTTGTTTGTATTGATTACGTTGTATTAAACAATTGTTTGTATAGGCCACCATGGTGACTGATTTTTTCATAATACTTAATATCGACCATGTTCTTGTCGAAAAATGATTCTAATTTTTCGGTTAGGACCTATCACTTTTTCATGTTTTATTTGATATAGTTGTGTGTGAATTCCGACTGCATAATTGTTGCTTGCTAATAGAATTATTGATTTAACTTGAAAGGTTTCAGTTTATGTTCCTACCTGCTAAAAATCGTGGAAAATGCGGGTTGATATCTATGCCTAGATTAGTGCACAGATTAAGGTTAGTAGGAGAAATATAATAGGCTAGACAAGACCTATCTATTTGGTGTTAGTTACTGTTACCAATAGTACGCTTTACCACAACGCGAAATTGCGCATGTTTACGAGGCGGATAAAACCAGCGTGATGTGCTAATCATACATAGGCTTGCGGAATAAATTGTGAGATATCTGTAATAAGAGGATATACGTTGCTAACTGTGTACCCTGAGCGGAATTGGTTCAACAAGGTTCTAACCTATGACCTATTGACTAGAACCAGTGTATCACAACGGCTAAACAAAAGCTTTATGATATTTGAGTTGAGGACAATCATTTCAGATAAATTAAGTTCACAAATCGTTGCAATCTTTGTTAATTTTGAACTTATCAAACGTAAAGAGGTGCTTGGTGATTGGTTTATATCAATACATGGCTCAGTATTATGTAGTAAAGCGGTTGCAAGGTATGATAATCTATCTTAGTGAGTTAATCCCACCTTCATATGCTAGTTGTTGACGAAATCATGGTGCAGATACAGAGGACATAGCCGGTACATACCAATTTAAACCATCTATTATACTGACGAGAACCAGGAATGTGAATTCAGAGGTGGATATACTGTGGAACCGATTCACTCTGTTCGGTTATATTTTGATGAAAAAGTTGCAGGTAGATTACAGAAGGAAACTTCGTGCAAATTCAGTCATACGTGTTTTTAAAGACTTGTTCTTGTGTAGTAGGTTGTTAGATGTCATTGATGTCCAGTAGCGGATGTCATGACGAAGTTAAGTGGGTTAATATGCTTACTGGCCAAAATTGACTCAAGCCGCTGGATCACGTGTTATGCGTGAGATAATAAAAATCTGTTGGTGCTGTGTAAAGGTAAAGTGAAAATCTATGCCACGTCAAGATTTGAACCAGTGACCTCCAACCTATCGGTCCTATTCTCTATCAGTTGAACTACAAAACTCGGTTGCTGAACAGCTCCTAATTCCTATCTGAAGGTTTGCGGAGACTTATTAATTGATTTTAGGTTGGAATTCATCATGGACTGACGTCACTTGGAGGAACATTAGAAACCTAGGAGCACTGGACAGCAGCTGTATCGTCCTAGTATGTGAATCCTCGGCACTGTGCACCCATGACCCCATCAGGGGTCAAGTTCACGACCTTCAGGCTCCGTGGTTAGCATGGAGTAACTGTCTTCATGTTTGACTTGGTTGACTCCACTGGTCACGACTTCTTATTAGGACTTCGAGAGATGATCATTGACGTGCCTTTTTGCAAGAGTATGGTTGGCTGAATGGTGAAATAAGGACACCACTTTCAGAAGAGTTCATATAGCAGTTGTCTAGGAGTGTACGTAGAATTCTTCGTCGAACATAAACTATATGTCGAAAGTGCATTCGAGGAGCACTTCTTTTATGGGGTTACCAGGTATGCTAATGGTTTAGTTATTGGACCTAATGAAGTAGCATATAAAGCAGCTCGTCTCAACTAAGGGTATTTTTGTAAAGAAAGGGGTAGCGTCTAACATAAGTGAACTGAGAACAAAAGTCCAGTTTGAGAACTTCAGACATTTTATTTGATACAGCTTTCGGCCACCTCACTATGCATCTACCGGTTTGGTTGTTCCTGTGGAAAAACCTACACTGACCATACGCAGCGTGAAATCCACTAACATATTTTGGGACATTGTCCAGTTTAGATATCCAGGGGAGAAGGAAAAAATATCAGCGCTTATATTCTTGAACATCTTGTCATTTCCGAACTTCTAACTCTATATAGAAATTCCCTCAAAGTAATTTCTAAAGTGTCTTGCTGCAGTTCCGAGGGCCTTTGACTGCGTCATCTATGTATGACCGAACCAGATCTTTGTTTTCAAGAACATTCGGTGTAGTCAGTAACCTTGCCATGGCCAAGGTAGTAGTTTTCTTCTGTCTTTAGGAACTTTCCATTCTACTCCTTGTCATTATAGTAATCACGTGTCTCCACTGAATAACAATATACTATTAATTGTTTATACTCACTTTAATCACAACTGTGCAGCTTTCGTAAATGAAATAGTGGTAAAAATATTTTCTTTTCTGTTAAGTCTGTTATGACAATTCACTGAAGGAAATCTCTACTTTCAATAAAGTATTTTTGAGTTAAGTGTAGTACATCTCGTTTCAGGTTATTCTCTGATCTTCTGTAAGTTTTTTGCATGTCTTTGCACTACTTGTGAGTGGTGATAAATAACAGGCTGTAAAAATGTTTGAAGTGGTGTCTACTTTGAAATATTGTCGGGAGATGTTTAAAACTTTTTGACTGGCTGGTGTGCAAAATTATGATAGTATGCCAGACTGTTTCTGATAAAGATGATTCTATAAAAACGTTTCAAAACAGTAGGTCAGAAAACCTTGAGGAACAGTTTAGCTTCATTTGCTCATGTTTGTTGGACACCGATATTGACCCTCCAAAGTAATTGGAGTCTTGAACTCTGTTTTATGGTTTAAATCAAGCAAAATGGCAGGAATAGACGATTAACTTTTAGATGTCTTCAAAAGATCTGTTCATAAGTGGGCATAAAAACAGAGGTAGTCCTATCAGAATGGTATCGTCTTTTGAGAATTTCCAGTGGTTGTGAAGGTTGAAATCCTGTCGTGATAACCGTGAGGGAATCAGCTTTATCAACGTTCTGATTACGAGTTACTTATTGAATGTTTCTCTAGAGTTGTGTTATAACAGGTCCGAAGGGATAATACATGTTCTAAATTGGAAGTGGTGGGATGTTTGGACCACTTCATTTACTTGGGGAGTTGTATCAACCCGAATGGGCTGGTTGCTGACGAAATCTCAGCTGAAATACAAAAGGCCTGTTCATCATTTGCCGAATTGCTTCGCCTGTGACACTGACACTGACTATCTATCAAAGGACGCATATACTGCGCTGCAGTCCGTTCTGTCGTGTTGTACGGCTGTGGGATATGGTCATCAAAAGTAGAAGACATGAAGCGGTTACATAGGTGTCTTCGTACCATTGCTCGTGTTTGGTGAAATCGTCATCGTGTGAGGAATGTCGAGGTCAGCCGAAGGGTACTAGGCAAGACGGGCAAGTCAATTGATTAAGTTAAGAAACTTAGTCGACTGAGATGGCTTGAACATGTACTACACATGCCAAGTCACCACCTAAATCGTCGTTTCATGCTAGACGAAGTTGGATTCGGTTGGAAGATGGCATAGAGTGGCCAGATGAAGACTTGGTATCAGTCGATGAAGTCTCTTACTATTGGTCTGAGTCATATGTGGTGATGTAGACTGCCTGGTTGGGGACCTCGAGAAGAAGGAATCAGTGGTTGAAGACTGTTGGTGATATGGCCGAAAATCGGTCACAATAGTGTAGATGTGTTCACCTCTTGGCATGTTCTAAGGCATGAATATTTACACTAATCTTTATCTTCAGATTATTTATTCTCTCACACCACTTTATCTTCTTTGATATCACTCTTCCTATCCACCTGTTTTTTGTGTACTACTGTGAAATGTGGCAACTTGAGCCGATGGACCCATTTACGAGGTTCTATGTTGGTTTTGACAGTCAGTCAGTCAGTTAGTTAGTTTTAAATTAGGCAGAAGTATGAAATTTTAAATTAATTGATTAGAGTAGATGTAATCCCCCACTTAGTTCACGAAATTCTTCCTGACTACAGAGTTTGTTCGCACTCAGGTTATGATATCTGCCACTTATTCGTCAGATATTCTATTTCCTTATTTTTGACATTCAATGTAGAAAATAGCGACATTCAGAAAGTATTGATAAGTTTACACGTAATGGCGTAAACATGCATTGACCTGCTGCTTACTACCAAACATTTAAATCTGTAGGATTGAAGACAGAAGTCAAGTATCGTCCAACTGAATCTGTTTTGATGTTTGATGATTATAGAGTCACTTTCACTCTCAACTGATGAGTTCCACAGTTCTATGCATCTGAACTCCCTTACACGGTTTGCATTCACTGTTTAACTAGGAGGAGAGGTGTGACTAACTTTATGTAGACAAATAAAAACTCTTTTACTTAGCATTACACTAGACTTTTTCACGATTCAGTGGAGATAATTACTACAGTGTTTTAGGTAGATGGTCTTACTGATTTGCTAGCGATGGCTTTACGCTCTTTTACTGTTCAGAATCTGATATAAATTCTGTTGCATTACTCCCTTATCTCTGAGTAACTCATTATATTTTTGTTGTTCGTAAACTAGTCCGTATGTATTTAACTGTAATAGGTTTTATCAAGAAAAAGCAAAACGTGACTAGACCATGACATGGTAATAACTCGAGGAGTTTCTGACTAGTAAGGTATATTCTTCTTTGTTGTATATCAGATAGATCCACTTTAAATCCATAACTGTAACTTTGGTGGACTAACATCTCATCCAAATTTCAAGATTCTTAATCTCTGATATAATTTCTATCCCTCCCGTAGTAATATTTTCCTTTCATTTCATAGTTTTATGATTATTATTACTTGTCCCTTGGGTTCCTAATGGAACATACGGCTTCAGTAGCACGTCTCCATTCCACTCTTTTCTCTGCAAGCTCTTATTTCTTCCTCACACCATCTCCTCTATGTCACCCTCACCTCCGACGCCCAACTCGCCGTTTCCCATCAGGGTTCCACTCGAATGCCTGGCACGTGATGTCCCCAGTCGGCCTTCTCAGTGCATGCTCAATCCATCTCAACTTCCTCCTGCATATTATTTGAGCGATGGGTTCTTGGTTGGTTCATTATCAGGCCAGAGTTTCTTGTTGCTTATTCTTTCTGGCCATCTGAGCTTCAGTAAGGAGCCAGCGTAGGTGGCAGTTGTTGATGAATGTCTGTAGTTTGTTGGCAATGCCTTTCGTAACGCGCCAAGTCTGTGAGGCATATAGAAGCACTGACTTGACTGAAGTTGGTGTTGAAAATCCGGATGTTGTTGACGCTTTATGCTGGGTGCAGTGCAGATCTCGACACTGGTTTCAGGCTAATGAACGCCTGTCTTGCTTTTCCGATCCTGGCTGGTTTTGATGTCCTCGTCTGTGCCGCCACCTGTAGTTGAAACAGTGCTTCCTAGATAGGTGAAGGAGGCTACTTCCTTTAAGTTCCTCCCGTTGATGGTGATTGGAGTTTGTTGTTGTTGGTTGGGTATCTTCATCACCTGTGTCTTCTCTACGTTCATTTGAAGGAAGTCCCGTCTTCACTGCCCCACCTCTTCTGTCAACTTGTTATTTTTCGCCTGTAGATCTTCAAGTTTGTGTGACACTAGACACAAGTCATCGGCAAAATCCAAATCTTCTTCTGGGGTCTTTTCATCGGTCTAGTCAGCGTATGCCGATCTTCTCGCTCCTCACTGTTTGTTGCATGATCCAGTCTACTATAATCAGGAATATCATGGGTGATAGTAGGCGGCAGCCTTGTTTTACTTCTGTCTTCACTTCGAAGGCATCAGTGAGGTGAGCTGTCCATTGTGAATTACTTGACATGTGGTGTCTTCATATAGTTGTTGAATGAGGTTGGAAAAGGTTTGTGGCACTGAAACCGTAGTATTGGAGTAGTTGCCAAATTACTTGTCGGTCGATGCTGTCGAGGGCCTTTCATAGATGTATAGGATAGTTAATGTAGTCTCTTTTCCTTCATTATTCTGATTGTTGACCTCATAGTTACGACATATCTTTTGTCGTTAACGTTTTATTTTTCCTATCGGTTTATTGTACATACACTTGGGACTAACCATTAGTCTATGAAAATACCTCATAAATACTGACTAGTAAGAAGTGAATTTGTTTTCATTTTCACTCAAAATAAAATTAACTCTTGTTTCATACTCTGTATAATCATTTTTTTTCTCTGTTATAGCCAATGATCCAATCTCGATGAAGTCACAAAATCTTAACCATTTGATACCAGTTAGCAAGAAATCTCCACAGTCTTCATCATCACAAACATTATCTTCATCGATATTGAAAGTAAATGAGAAAATATCGAAAAATGATAAAAATAGAATTTGTGCCCCAAATAAATTATCATCAGATAAGAATACTTCGATCTACAAAACTAGTAATCAGTTCAAGTCAATCAATATGCGTAGTAATGTTTCCAGTGGAAATGTGAAAGCTTCAGTCCTATCAAAGACACCATTGAATTCATGGAAGAAGAGTGATAGTTCATCTAATGCGAATTCCTAAAATATAAGTCACACGTTAACTGCATTTGTTATGGGCATGTTAAGTCAGAGTTAAGTGCTTCACACACACCTATTGGATTATGGAAATAAATTATAGTAATGGAGTACATGGATTATTTATTGATGCATGTTAATTGTTATGAAGTGGTTAAAAAGTTTATAAGTTGACGGTTGGTTATATTCAGCAATGTAAAGGCATGGTACGGGAAGTAATATCATATTATTATTATTTGTCCCTTGGGTTCTTAGTGGAACATAGGGCTTTAGTAGCACGTCACCATTGCACTCTCTTCTCTACAGTCCTTTTAACCTGGCTCAACTACTGCCCACAAGATTTCGTTTCCTCCTCATATGATCTCCTCCATGTCACCTTCTCCTTGGACTTCCAACTCGTCGTTTCCACTTTGAGTTCCACTCAAGGGCCTCGCGCATGATGTCTCCGAATATCCAGTCCAATCCATCTCCACTTCCTTCTTCTGCATATTTGAAGCAATATCATAAAATGAGATGACTTATTAATGTATTGATGGGTTGAGACAGCTATAACCTGTTACGCTTGATGAGCTTATATTAACACTTTCATATCTGTGTGTCTTTCACATAAAAGACGGTTATGAGTCAGCCCCGATTATTCCCAGAGCCATTCTACCTTACCTTAGAAGCTTTTGTGAAAGAGACTACTACAGCCATACTTGTTAAGGGTATCTCATATAACTATAAAAACTCACTGAAGCATTATATGCCACCCAAAGGATCGAGAGTCGACAGAAGACATTTATGAAAAAACGTGTCTCTGAACACTAACTGTTATTAAAGCGTCATGTAATAAAATCACTTATAACATTTTGATCAGTATGACCAATAGTTTGATTGGGAGATTTTTTGAAATACTCGTATGCTTTATTTCAAAATGCTCAAGAGACTTCTTAAAAGCAAGGTATTCAGGTGGCATGTAGATTTGTTAATTTTATAAAGTGACCCTGTAAATCTGTTCAAAAACCCCAGATACCAACAAATATCAACTTTATCCAATTTAGCCTAGTGGTCTATGAGAAATTACAAGTACTGAATCTCATTCCCCAAGAGGTGCTTCTTATAACTAAAGATGCTAGTGGGTAGCTGTGGTACGTGTTGTCATAAATGGTGGGTTCACTTCTCAGTCGGGGTATCAATATACGTATACAGTTATGTTCGACTGAGTAAATAGAACGGAACATGTGATATGAATTTCATTGTACGCTAACATCGAGTATTTAACGTTGATTAATGTTGACATTAGATGAAATAATCAGGTTCTGAAACTATTAACAATCAATTGTTGCTGCACCATAAAACTACACACTTACAACACAGATTTGTCTTTGAATAGGATATTAGTTTGATTTCTTCTGAAGATGATTACGTGAGCATGATGGGTTTCTTACGGGCATTGATTGATAATCATAGATAGATTGATAGCTAAAAAAAGTAGTGAAGTACAAAGTTAAGATGGAAAACACTGTTGAGTCACTGAATATGAGGAAAAGCAGCCTAAGTACACTACATACGTAAGAGCAACTAACAATTTGAACACATAGACTCAGGGAAGCCTGATCAAAACAATTACTGCCTCTTGTGGACAGATTTATGGTGAAGTTTGATGCATAATCAACCTATTACTTTAAGAGGAATTGAATATACCACTGTTCTTTTTCTAGTTACTGTATGTATGAATTTGTCACCAGCGGGTAACCAGTACACTACTTGAATTCCTAGGGGATGACCCTCACCAAGGTCTGTTGATCAGATCTGTAAAATGTGGCTACTAAGCTAAGTGATTTGACTATTCAGTGCACTGTATTTTCACATTAGATGTTAATGAGTTGATGTGCTGGAAGATGAAGACTTAGGATTCATGTTTGTTTGCTGTCACCAGTAATGCATGACCATGGGAAACTTATTATTGCTAAGTGTATCTGGGTTAATGCATTTAAATTTGTTACCAAGTGATGCCGGTTTGAATCAGCTGGGAGAGACCACTTTCGTCATCATTACAGCTACTCTGTGCTAACAAATGCCAAAAAGCATCAAACGTATGTCTAAGGCTTCTTGCCAACTGATTCCTAGCACCTAACATTTAAACGTAACCTCGCCTAGGTTTATTAGTTCACTAGTTACTAGCCGGGCAAAGAGAGAAGGTTGAACATAGGACAACCTAGCAACCCTACTCCATAAAACAAATCTAACCTCTAAAGAAACTTCAAAACGCAAACAAAATATAAAACACAGAAACGAAATTACTTCTCGCTGGAATCGGAGAGGAGAAGTGATGCCGGTTGGTGAAAGCCTTCGGGAAACCAATTGGCCGATGTTTCTCCTCTCTCTCAATGAAAGCAAAAGTAAAAGTGGGGACATGCTTGTCCGAACAATGTTTGAACCCAGCAAGGCAGCCCAGATTGCAAACGAGATGAGAAGGTATCACATTGAAGTGTTAGGAATTTGCGAAAGCAGATGTAGTGGGAGTGGTCTCTCCAAACTGTCAACTGCAGAATCAATAATATACTCCGATATTGTCACCTAGATGACAACCACGAGCACACTGAGTTTTGGAGTGGCTATCATGATGTCCCCAAGAGCATCGAAGGCTCTCGTGCAGTGGGAACCAATCTTCTCCAGGATAATGACAGCAAGGTTCAACTCAAAAGGAAGGAAGGTCACAATCATATAATGCTATGCACCTACAAATAATGCAGAGCAAGAGAAAAAGGAGGATTTCTACAGACAACTTCAATCAACACTGGACAAGACGTCAGTTGGCGATATCAAAATTCTAATGGGCGACATGAGTGCCAAACTGGGAGGGGACGACACAGGAAGAGATCTAACCATGGGTCGAGAAGCGCTCGGTGAGGTGATGAACGAGAATGGAGAATTGATTGCAGAATTCTGCGCATTCAACGATTTGGTGATCGGAGGTGAGGCAGTGTGTTAAAGCACAAGGATATCCACAAAGCGACATGGACTTCACCAGATGGACACAGTAGAAACCAGTTTGACTTCATATCAATGTTAAGAAAGTGGAGACGCAGCCTACTGGACACAAGGTCAATAAGAGGAGCAGATGTAGGTTCAGACCGCGCATCATCTAGTGCAAGCAACCTTCCAAACCAAGTTGAAAGCCTTCAATTCAAGGAAGTTGGTGATAGACCACAGTTGGAGTTCAACACCCAGAACCGAAACTGAACTGAAGGACGAAACTACAAAGGAAATCTTCACGTCAGCCATCAAGAGAAAATAGGAGATATCGAGCAACATCCCTGATGAAACCTGTGTGGAAGAACACTGGAAGTCTTTGAAAGAGATGTTGAAAGAAATCTGCACAACCGTATTAGGAAGGAAGAAGTAAGAAGATAAGGAATGGATCTTGACGGACACATGGAAGCCGATAGAGCAGGGAGAGGAGAATGGTGAAGCAGAAGGTGAACAAGTGCAAGAATGCACAACGAGAAGAGGAACTGAGTAAAATGTATAAAACATAGGACAAAGAAGTGAAGAAGAGTAGACGGAAAGACAAAAGACACTTCTACAACACACTGGCAAGTGAAGCAGAACAGGTTGAAGGTAAGAGAGACATGACAACATTATGTCAAATAACCAGGTTACTATCTGGCAGGAAAGAGATCAACGCAGACTAAACCAATAAAAGATGATGAAGGAAATTTGATTACGAAGGAAGAGAAACAAAAGAAACAATGGGCTGACCACTTCAAAAGGCTCTTGAATCGACCACCACCTGCACTTCTTCCAGAAATAACACCTGCAGCCGCTGAACCACAAAGGAACATAAATCCCCCAACGAAAATGGAAGTCCTGAACGCCATAAAGCTACTGAAATGTGGGAAAGCAGCAGGAGCAAATGGAATCCCACCAGAAGCACTGAGAGCAGACGCAGAGACAACAACGGACATGCTCACACCATACCACTATTGCAGAAGGTTTGGAAAGAAGTGAAGGTAGCTGGCGATTGAAAGAAGGGTTACCTTGTCAAACTGCCGAAGAAGGGAGACCTCAGTGTTTGCAAGAACTGGCGCGGAATCACTCTCCTGTCCACCGAAAGCAAGCAAAATATTGAGCCTCATCATCCTGGAGAGGCTAAAGGATGCACTGGATTCAAAACTACGACCGGAACAGGCTGGCTCGCTGGCTTCAGGAAGTACAAATCATGTGCGGACGAAATTGCAACGCTTCGCATCATCATAAAACAGAGCATAGAATGGCAGTCAACTCCCTACCTCAACTTTATTGACTTTGAGAATGCATTCGACAGCGTCGACCGAGAAGTAATTTGTCAGGCAGTTGCTTCAACACTACGGAATACCACAAACCTTTATCAGCCTCATTCGACAACTATATGAAGACACCACATGTCAAGTAATTCACAATGGACAGCTCACCTCACTGATGCCTTCGAAGTGAAGACAGAAGTAAAACAAGGCTGCCGCCTACTATCACCCATGATATTCCTGATTATAGTAGACTGGATCATGCAACAAACAGTGAGGAGCGAGAAGATCGGCATACGCTGACTAGACCGATGAAAAGACCCCAGAAGAAGATTTGGATTTTGCCGATGACTTGTGTCTAGTGTCACACAAACTTGAAGATCTACAGGCGAAAAATAACAAGTTGACAGAAGAGGTGGGGCAGTGAAGACGGGACTTCCTTCAAATGAACGTAGAGAAGACACAGGTGATGAAGATACCCAACCAACAACAACAAACTCCAATCACCATCAACGGGAGGAACTTAAAGGAAGTAGCCTCCTTCACCTATCTAGACAGCATCGTTTCAACTGTAGGCGGCACGGACGAGGACGTCAAAGTCAGAATCGGAAAAGCAAGACAGGCGTTCATTAGCCTGAAACCAGTGTCGAGATCTGCACTGCACCCAGCATAAAGCGTCAACAACATCCGGATTTTCAACACCAACTTCAGTCAAGTCAGTGCTTCTATATGCCTCACAGACTTGGCGCGTTACGAAAGGCATTGCCAACAAACTACAGACATTCATCAACAACTGCCACCTACGCTGGCTCCTTACTGAAGCTCAGATGGCCAGAAAGAATA